CCATTACTCCTCTCCACCAGGTTCCCACCCCACCCTCTGCCCTTTCCCCACCCCCCATTGTCCTCATTCATAGGTGCACAGTTTTTGTTCAGTCTCTTCCCAGACCCCCCTCTCCCCTTTTCCCCGAGAATCATCAGTTCACTCCCCTTCCATACCTCTGATTCTATTATATTCAACAGTTAATATTGTTCATCAGATTTTCTTTTTAATTCCCTTGGTTTTTAGATTCACTTGTTGATAGTTACATATTTGTTGTCCATAGTTTTTATCTTTATTTACTTTCTCTTCCAAAAGAACCCCCTTCAGCAATTCATATAATTCTGGTTTGGTGGTGATGAACTCCTTTAGCTTTTTTTTTTTTTATTTGTGAAGCTCTTTATCTGGCCTTCGATTCTGAGTGATAGCTTTGCTGGGTAGAGTATTTTTGGCTGTAGGTTCTTGCTATTCATCACCTTGAATATTTCTTGCCATTCCCATCTGGCCTGCATGGTTTCTGTTGACAAATCAGCTGACAATCGTATGGGTGCTCCTTTATAGGTAACTACCTTCTTTGCTCTTGCTTCTTTTAATATTCTCTCTTTGTCTTTTGCTCTTGGAATTTTAATTATGATGTGTCTTGGTGTGGTCTTCTTTGGATTCCTTTTGTTTGGGGTTCTGTGCGCTTCCTGGACTTGTAAGTCTAATTCTTTCACCAGGTGGGGGAAGTTTTCTGTCACTATTTCTTTCAGTATGTTTTCGATATCTTGCTCTCTCTCTTTTTCTGGGACCCCCATAATTCTGATGTTGGTTCGCTTGAAGTTGTCCCAGAGGTTTCTTACATTATCTTCAACTTTCTGGATTCTCTTGTCTTCTTGCTTCCGCAGAGGAGTGTCTTCTGGCTCTTTATGTTCCAAATCTTTGACTTGATTCTTGTGATCTTCTAGTCTGTTTTTAGGACTCTGCGTAATATTTTTTATTTCAGACAATGTATTCTTTATTTCTTGTTGATCCCTTATTATTAATATTTCTTGTTGATCCCTTATTATTTCTAGTTGATCCTTTTTCATATCCTCATAAGTCTTATCGACCTTTTCTAGGAAATTCTTGAAAAACCTTATAAGCGTGGTTTTGAACTCTATATCCAGTGTCTTTTTTTCCTCCATTTCTTTTGTTTGTGATCTGTTTCCTTGTCTCAGCATTTTCACAGCTTCCCTGAGTTGGTAGGGTGGCTTTGTGTGCTAAGGTGTCCTATATGGTTCAGTGAGTCAGCCTCCCAGGTACCTGAGGTGGACAGTCTTGGAGTAGCCCTTTGTGGGCTGTGTGTGCAGTCTTGTTGTTAAGCCTTGCTTGTTGTTGGTATCACTGGGAAGTGTTGATCTCCAAGCCAATTGGCTATGAGGATCAGAAATGTCTCAGCTAGGAGGGTTTCTGTATTCCACTTGAATGGGGCGGAGTCTTGGGGGGCGCACAGACAAGCTTTGTTGAATCCCGCACAATTGGTTGCAGGCGCTCGCACCTCTTTGGTATAGGCGCAGACAAGCTTTGGATTCCTGTCTGTCACTCCCTAGGGGAGTCCCATTCACTACAAACGAGAAAGCTAGCCACTGGAAGGGCTTCTGTGCTCCGCTTGGATGGGGCGGAGTCTCCGGTGGTGCAGACAAGCTTTATTCAGCCCCTCCCTACAAGGACCTGGTTTCTGAGTTCAGCAGTAATGGCCGCTGGCTTCACATACCTCTGAGAGATCTCTGCCCGCTGCCTGACAGTCTGGCCTCTCCCTGTCTGGGGCCATCTATCAGTGCAATAGGTGGTTCTATTTTTCTCCTGAACAAGAAAGCCAGTGACGCATTAGCTGTCTGCCCTCTCCGTGCACCCGGAGTAAGCCAGTAGTAAACTCCGCCCGCCCTCTCTGTGCTCTGCAAGCAAGCCAGCAGCGAAGTCTGGTGGCCTCCTTTTCGTGCGCACAGTTCACCGCACCTTCACAGTTCCTGAGGTTCAGCGTGCCTTCTCTCTCCTTCCCAGATGGGAGAGCCTCCTCTCAGCCAGCCATCCGGCGCATCAGGGTGATGTTTCCCCGGTTTTTCAGTTCTAAATTCAAATTTCTTGTGGTAGGCTGCATTCAGGTTTCTACCTTATGCTGCCATCTTGGTTTCTCTATATCTATCTTTTGGTTCATCAGTTTATAATGTTCTTTATTATCCATAAATGAGTGAGGTCATGTGGTGTTTCTCTTTCATTGACTGGCTTATTTCACTCAGCATGATGTTCTCCAATTCCATCCAGGTTGCTGCAAATGATGAAAATTCCTTCTTTTTCATGGCAGCATAGTATTCCATTGTGTAGATATACCATGGTTTTTTGATCCAATCATCTGCTGACGGGCACCTAGGCTGTTTCCAAATCCTAGCTATTGTAGATTATGCTGCTATGAACATAGGGGTGCATATATCCTCTCTGATTGGTGTTTCTAGTTTCTTGGGATACAATCCTAGGAGTGGGATTACTGGGTCAAATGGGAGTTCCATTTTCAGTTTTTCTGAGGAAACCATACTGTTCTCCACAGTGGTTGCACCAGTCTGCATTCCCACCAGCAGTGCACGAGGGTTCCTTTTTCTCCACAACCTCGCCAACACTTGTCATTTGTTGATTTGTTGATGTTGGCCATTCTGACAGGTGTGAGATGGTACCGCATTGTTGTTTTGATTTGCATCTCTCATGTTTCTTTTTATTTTGCAAGAACATTCTATGGTCATTGTCATCTGTCCTTTAACTCTCACTTCCTTTTGAAACTACTGTCATCTGACTTCTGTCCTCACTGTTCCACCAAAACTAATTTTTTGTTTGTTTGTTAATCCTCATATGAGGATATTTTTTCTTTCTTTTAAAAAAAAATATATTTTATTGATTTTTTACAGAGAGGAAGAGAAAGGAACAGAGAATTAGAAACATCGATGAGAGAGAAAAATTGATCAGCTGCCCCCTGCACACCCTCCATTAGGGATGTGCCTGCAACCAAGGTACATGCTCTTGACCCGAATCAAACCTGGGACCCTTCATTCCACACGCTGACACTCTATCCACTGAGCCAAACTAGTTTCTTCGGTGAGGATATTTTTTTCCATTAAGTTTGTTTTAGAGAAAGTGGAAGAGGTGAGGGAAGAGAAATGTGATATGAAACATATCTCATTCTTGCTCCACCAGGATGGGGATCAAACCTGTAACCCAGATACCAGCCTTGGCCTAGAATCTAACCAGAGACCTTTCCAAGCACAGGCTGACACTCTAACCAATGAACCATACTGTCCAGGGCCCAAAACTGTTCTTGCTAATGTTGTCAATGACCTCTTAATATTTCTGGACTTAGTGTACTCAACCCAGAGTATTAGAGACTGTTCACCACTTCTTGGAAGTTCTCTTATTCTTTGGCTTCTGTGAGACTCTCCTTTGGTTCTTTGCTGACATTTCTGTGACAACTCTTTTTGCAGCCTCCCCCCCCCCCCCTGCTTTTTTTCCTTCATAAATAGTTCTGTCCTTGGCCTAAGGCTCTTTGTGTCTTTAGAGTTCGGCAGTCTCCTTGAGACAGCTGAATTAAACCTGAAGTATTAGCTGTCAGATTTTAATCTCTGATCAGATTTCCCTCTGACTAGTCAACTCTATGTAAGTGTCCCAGATTCTTCAAACACACCTTCTCAATCTAAACTCACCATCCCTGTTGTGTTTTCTAGCTCAATGACATTCATCCCTGAATTCTATTCTCAAACCTGGAAGTAATACTGGAATCCTAATACCTTCATATCCAATAAATCAAAAAGTCCTATTGATTGCATTTCCCTTATTAATTCTCAAAATTCACTTTAACTGCCAGCACCTTGGCTTAGGTTTGCATTACCCAGTACCTTTAAGTTGGTCTTTCTGCCTCCAATTTTGCCTTCTGCAATTTTGTCATGCACAGTGATCTTCTTAGAACTTGTTTGATAGTGAGGTTTGTCTATTTAAAAGACCTTCAGTAGCTTGCCATTGCTTTTAGGGTGAAGTCTTTAAAAAAAAATTTTTTTTTTTTTTTTCACCAAGACTGGTTTGGCTCAATGGATAGAGCGTCGGCTTGGGGACTGAAGGGACCCGGGTTCTTTTCTGGTCAAGGGCATGTACCTTGGTTGCGGGCATATCCTTAGTAGGGGGTATGCAAGAGGCAACTGATCGATGACTCTCTCGTCGATGTTTCCAACTCTCTATCTCTCTCCCTTCCTCTCTGTACAAAATCAATAAAATATATATTTAAAAAATAAATACAATTTTTTTTTATTGATTCCAGAGAGGAAGAGAGAGAGAGAGAGAGAGAGAGAGAGAGAGAGAGAGAGACAGATCAATGATGAGAGAGAATTATTGATTGGCTGCCTCCTGCACACCCCCACTGGGGGTCAACTCCGCAACCTGGTTTGTACCCTTAGGGAATCGAACCTGGGACCCTTCAGTCTGCAGAAACTCTATCCACCCAGCCAATCCAGGTAGGGCAGGGTGAAGTCTTAACTTCTTAATATTTAGCACAGAAATCCCCTTTGCTCCTCCAAGTCATATATTACTACAATCTTAAAAAATTTTATATATATATATATATTTCAGAAAGGGAGAGGGAGATAGAAACATCAATATCAATGATGAGATAGAGGGGATTGGTCTGCAATCTGGGCAAGTGACCTGACTGGGAATCCAACCTGACTTGCTGATTCATAAGTTGATGCTCTACCACTGAAACACTGACACTGACCAAGCTTACCATGCTCTTTATTCAGCTGTGCGCCAGTGTGTGTTTGTGTCTGCATTTACAAATACTGTGAATTCGATTCGCTGCTAGCGAAACCTGTATTATTTTAACTCAGGTTTGCCCATGATCATAGATTTACCGAGTATTTAAATGCCTCGGATCTCTCTAACAGCCCAGCCTAGCAACAATGCAGCACTTTTGATTGCGTGGGGTAGCCGAGGAGGGGCCAGGGTTTAGCCCCTCCCGGCGAAGGAGGGTGCGGGAGGCGCAGGCGCAGGAAAGCCATTCTTGCCCCGCCCTCCCTTCCGGCAGACGACGCAAAGAGCTCACGTAAAGTCATTTCCGGGAAGTGGATCGGCGCTTTGTTTGCTGCAACATGGAGGCCACTGGTGAAACTGAAGAGCCGGTGAGGCACTGCTCTGGGGTCGGGTGAATGGGGAAGTCGAGCTGACTCTAGCGTTGAACTCTCCCTCTCCTCCTCCTTTTTTTATTCTCAGGTTTCCGGGGAACTGGTATCCGTGGCACATGCTCTTTCTCTCCCAGCCGAGTCTTACGGCAACGACGTGAGTATGACACACACACGGCTCCAATTCACCTAGTCTGTGATGTCTGCAGGGCCTGCCACGAAATTGTAACCCCCTGCCCTGAAATCTTATGTAGACCAGTGCTACAACATCGCCCAGCTAGTCCACGCGGGGGCCTTTCAGCTCATTCTTATGTGTTTGATCCACAAACGCAGAACGCAGGACTAATACCAATGGAAGTAGTTCCCAAACTTTGCTGCACATTAGAATCCCGCGTGAAGCATTTAAATATCCTGATGGCCAGAGCACAGTCCATTTCAATTAAATCAGAATACCTGGGACTGAGAGCCTGCTATCCATATTTTTAAAGGCCCTCTAGTGATTCCACTGTGCAGTAAAGTTGCACTGGCTTATGGTGTGTCTAGATTCTTTTTTTAAAAAATATATTTTATTGATTTTGTACAGAGAGGAAGGGAGAGAGATAGAGAGTTAGAAACATCGATGAGAGAGAGTCATCGATCAACTGCCTCTTGCACACCTCCTACTGGGGATATGCCCGCAACCAAGGTACATGCCCTTGACCGGAATCGAACCCGGGACCTTTCAGTCCCCAAGCCACAACGCTCTATCCCTTGAGCCAAACCGGTTTCGGTGTGTGTCTAGATTCTTAAGGAGGAAGCACATGATGTATTTGAGGTTTTGTTTTATTTTGTTTTGGTGTTCTTGTTAATCCTCACCCAAGGATATTTTTGTTTTGTTGTTAATCCTCATCCAAGAGTGGAAAGGAGGGAGATACAGAGAGAAACAGCTACCCTGTTTCCCCGAAAATAAGACAATGTCTTATATTAATTTTTTCTCCCAAAGTTGCGCTAGGTCTTATTTTCTGAGGATGTCTTATTTTCGGGGAAACACGGTATACGAGAGACACATCCATTGGTTGCCTCCCACATGCATCCCAGGGCCAGGGATCAAGTCTGCAACTGAGGTATGTGCCCTTGACTGGAATCAAATCTGAGACCCTTCAGTCCACAGGTGGACTGAGACAAATTGGCTAGGGCCCATAATGTATTTGAGATACAAAACGCAAGGGTATAAGAACAGTAGTAACACTCAAGTAAGAATGTGATCTAAGCTAGATGAGCGAATCAGGGCATAAGATACAAAACAGTTTAATTTAAGAATAAGCACAAAGAACCTAGACAGTAGCTGAAGACTTCACTGTGATAGTGGATCTCAAATTGGATCCTCAAAATATAGGTGGACAAAGGACATGAATTAGCAGTCAGGCAAAGGGCCTAGAGGTAAAACTGCAAAGGGCTTCTGGGGTCAGTGAAATATATCCCTCCAATTTGAGTGGGAGATTCTAATGGAACAGGTGGTGGGTGCTTGGTAAGGGGTATTTATAAATTAACCTGCTTCGTGATACTGTTTCATTTCTAAGTGTTCTAGGGTGGGAAATTGGCAATCAGTTAAACAAGTGATGATTATGAAATGCCACACTCTTAAAAGTGAAGAGTAATTTCACTTCCATTATTTTATTTTGTTGTTTCAAGAGTTCAGTTGTCTATGTGTGTTTATTATTTCAGTTTTGCAATGATTTAACACAGTCTTTTATATATTTTTTTTATTGATTTTTTTGCCCCCCTCCCTCCCTCCCACACATCCCCTCCCTCCCCAGAGTTTTGTATATATATATATTTTTTATTGATTTTTTTTTGCCTCCCTCCCCCCTTCCACACATCCCCTCCCTCCCCAGAGTTTTGTATATATATATATTTTTTTTTTATTGATTTTTTTAACACAGTCTTTTAAAAATGTTTTTAATTTACTGATGTCTTTAGACAGCACCCTATTTGTTGTTTCACTTATTTTGGCATTCATTGGTTGATTTTTACATATGCCCTAACTAGAGATCTAAGCCACAACCTTGGCAATGGGAGACAACGCTCTAAACAGGGCCTAACTCAGTCTTGAGAATATTATTACTGTTTTATTTAGTTTCTAACACTTTCATTAGCTTCCAGGAAAAGTTAGTCCCTGTCTCATTCTATTTATTAGACTGTAGGTAATTTTTTGTTTGTCATAAGAACAGAAGAATTATTTTATTGCCCAAACCCATTAGTCTAGGTTTTATCCTTTAACAGTAACACCAGGTTTGGTAGCTCTCCTGAGCATACATAGGCTTCCTTAATTTGTTCTCTAGTGGCAGGATTGGGAGATTTCTTACCTGGCATTTTTTATTTTTTTTTATTTTTTTGACATTCCAAGGGGTGTCCAGGCATGGGTAGCTTTATTTATTTTTATTTTTAAAAAATAATTCTTTATTGTTGAAAGTATTACATATGTCCCCCTTTCCCCCCCCACATTGACTCCTTGTAGTGCGCGCACACACACACCCTTGCCCAGGCCCTCAGGGCCCCTTTGTCTGTGTTCATGGGCCATGCATATATGTATACAAGGTCCTTGGTTGATTACTTCCCATCCATACATCCTTCCCGCTTTCCCTCTGAGATTCCACATTCTGTTCCATGCTTCCATGTCTCTGGATCCACTCCCTTCATCAGTTTATTTTGTTACTTAGATTTCACATATGAGTGTGATCATATGATACTGGTCTTTCTCTGACTGATTTATTTCACATAGCATGGTTCTCTCCAGGTCCCTCCATGCTGTCTCAAAGGGTAAGAGAGTCTCTTTTTTTTTTTTTTTTCAAAAGTAGCATCTCCCTAAAATAAAATTAAAATTAAAAAAAAAAAAAGTAGCATCTCCCTTGTGACTGTTTTCTAGTTTATTATATATATATATATATATATATATATATATATATATATATATATATATATTGATTTTTTACAGAAAGGAAGGGAGAGGGATAGAAAGTTAGAAACAGCCGAAACTGGTTTGGCTCAGTGGATAGAGCGTCGGTCTGAGGACTGAAAGGTCCCAGGTTTGATTCCGGTCAAGGGCATGTACATTGGTTGCGGGCACATCCCCAGTAGGGGGTGTGCAAGAGGCAGCTAATCGATGTTTCTCTCTCATCGACATTTCTAGCTCTCTATCTCTCTCCCTTCCTCTCTGTAAAAAATCAATAAAATATATTAAAAAAAAAAAAAAAGAAAGTTAGAAACATTGATGAGAGAGAAACATCCATCAGCTGCTTCCTGCACACCCCCTACTGGGGATGTGCCTGCAACCAAGGTACATGCCCTTGAGCGGAATAGAACCTGGGACCTTTCAGTCCGCAGCCAACGCTCTATCCTCTGAGCCAAACCAGTTTCAGCTAAAACATATTTTTTATTAATTTCAAAGAGGAAGGGAGAGGAGGGAGAGAATCATTGATTAGCTGCCTCCTATACACCTCCTATTGGGGATGGAGCCTGTAATCTGGGCATGTGCCCTTGACTGTAATCAAACCCAGAATCCTTCAGTCTGCAGGCTGACACTCTATCCACTGAGCCAAACCAGCTGGGGCAAGGTCCTCCCTTTTTTTTCTCTTTTCTTTTCTTTTCTTTTTTTTTTTTTTTTTTGCTGCATAGTATTCCACGGTACAGATGTACCACAGGTTTTTATCCACTCATTTACTATGGGCCCTTAGGCTGTTTCCAAATCTTAGCTATTGTAAATTGTGCTACTGTGAACATAGGCTGTGCATACATTCTTTCTGATTCAGTGTTTCGGGTTTCTTTTTCTTTTTTTTTTAATATATATATTTTTATTGATTTTGTACAGAGAGGAAGGGAGAGAGATAGAGAGTTAGAAACATCGATGAGAGAGTCATCGATCAGCTGCCTCTTGCACACCCCCCACTGGGGATATGCCCGCAGCCAAGGTACATGCCCTTGACCGGAATCGAACCTGGGACCCTTCAGTCCCCAATCCGACGCTTTATCCATTGAGCCAAACCGGTTTCGGCTGTTTTGGGTTTCTTAGGATATATTCCTAGAAGTGGGATTACTGGGTCAAATGGCAGATCCACATTTAATTTTTTGAGTAAACACCATACTGTTTTCTATAATGGTTACCCTCCCACCAGCAGGGTAATAGGGTTCCCTAATCTCCACATCCTCGCCAGCACTTGTAATTTGTTGATTTGTTGATGGTAGCCATTCTGACAGCTACTTCATTGTCCTTTTAATTTGTGCCTCTCAGTTTATCAGTGAATTTGGGCATTTTTTCATATGTCTTTTGGCCATCTATGTCCTCTTTGGAGAAGTATCTATTTAGGTCCTTTGCCGATCTGTTTTAATTGGATTATTTGTCTTCTGTTAACTTTTATGAATTCCTTATATATTTTGGATATTAACCCTTTATCAGATTTATCAGTACCGAATTTATTTTCCCATACAGTGGGCTCCAGTTTTGTGTTTTTTAAATTTTTTTTAGGTTTTTTATGGCTACACTTTTTTTTTTTTAAGTTTAATAAATCTTTATTGTTCAGATCATTAGAATTGTTTCTCCTTTAACCTCTCATAACTCCCCTTCACCCGGTTCCCACCCCACCCTCTGCCCTTACCTCCCCCCACTGTCCTCATCCATAGGTTGAAGACAATTTTTGTCCAGTCTCTTCCTGCACACCCCATTCCCCTTTCCCCCTGAGAATTATCACTCCACTCCCTTTCTATGCCCCTGATTCTATTATATTCACCAGTCCATTCTGTTCCTCAGATTTTTAATTCACTTGATTTTTAGGTTCACTTGTTGATAGATATGTATTTGTTGTTTATAATTTTATCTTTACTTAAAAAAAATACTTTGTTTTATTGATTTTTTTACAGAAGAAGGGAGAAGGATAAAGAGTTAGAAACATCGATGTGAGAGAAACATCGATCAGCTGCCTCTTGCACACCCCATACTGGGGATGTGCCCACAACCAAGGTACATGCCCTTGACCGGAATCAAACCTGGGACCTTTCAGTCCTCAGGCGGATGCTCTATCCACTGAGCCAAACTGGTTTTGGTGTACCTTTACTTTTTTCTTTTTCCTTTTCTTAAAGAATACCTTTCAGCATTTCATATAATATTGGTTTGGTGGTGATGAA